AGCCAAGGAGGAAGAGGAGGCACAAGCCTATGGGTAGTTCCTTTTTCTGCCAGTCAATCCAGTCCAACTACCATGTTGTCATGCCAGTTTAAGGCAAAAAAAAATGCTCTCCCTCCTCCCTCTAGATGAATTTTTTTCCTCATTCTCTTTGCTCCAGCCTTCTCCTTTCCTCCTGCGTTTCCAGCCATCGCTGGCACAAGTGAGAGGGGGCAGGAATTGCTGTGGGCTGGGCTCACAGTTCAGCGGTCGGATGGGTAAGCACCCAGTGCAGGCACCGTGGGGCTCAGCTGAGAAGAAAGGTGCCATAGGGATGTAAAACACCGAAATCTGAGAGTTTCCTGACTTTGAAACCCGAACCACATAGCAGCCTGCGGAAGACTTTCCATTCGCTTTCTAAACTCTCAGGCCTGAATGTCACATCATTCTCCCAGCCATAAATAGCTGTGAATTAAACAGGCTGCGCTGCTTTTTTGGCTAATAGATACGTCCGCTAGTGTGGCAGCGTTATCTTCACATCCCACTGGTGTTTGCATTGTAGATCAGGAGCTCAAGCTGACTTCTCTTTTTTTTTCGTTTTCAAGATTTAAAGAGCTGGCAGAACATTTATTCAGTTGTGCAACCTCCATTCAGAGTATTTCTCAGATCCTGGATATGGGGCTCATTTTTTGTCCTTTGACAGCCACTGCAAATCAATAAGGCAGTTGGAGGTCACTCGTAGGCAATCAGTAACCAGTCCGACAAAGGGGAAAACACTAAAAATTTGGTATAAAAACACAGGCTCTAAACTTGAAGTTCTCACTCAGGGTGACATTTTGACAGCCGTGCCTTCGGAAACCTGGCTCCATCCAGCCTCGGTGTTGATACCCAGCCTGGCCATGATCTTTTCCTGGTAATTACCTACACGAGAATTTCACAGCACGTGCACACCGCAGGAATTACAGCGAACCGGGGAGCAAGGTGCTTCAGGTGGAGGAAGTGGGTCTCGTGCTGCAAGGTGCTAATTTAGTGCCAGCTGAATCACTCCTCCTTCTTGCAGGAAGTCATTAGGTGTTGGCTGAAGCCGTGCATGACCTTCGTCACAGCCACCTCCCTCAGGAACCGAGAGACCTGTGGCCAGGCAGTAATTCTCGCAGGGGTCCCTAATTCCCTTTGAAACAACTAGGAGCTAAGCTCTTAAATACCTTTGCCGTCTGAATCATATTCCAATGGCGTCACCATCTCTGTTTGCTCCTAGTTCTGGAGCTGGTTGCCCATAAAAACTGCCTGACCTCATCTCAAGCCCCTGCAATGAGAACACACTCAATTTCCTCTTTCCTTTGACCTCAGCTGCTCTGGGCTTTGTGGTGATGCAGGATCCTCTCTCTAAATAACCATCCAGCCATCTCTTCGTGCGCACTAATGCGGGGCCCTCGTGCCCTGCACCGCCAGCTGTAATCTGGACGTGCTCTAGCAGTCCCTGTGCAGAGGCTGCACACCATCACTTTTTTGGTGATATTGTGCCCCCCTGTTACTATTGCTGGGCTGCACAGACGGTTTGCACAATAACCTGTGACTCACTTTCAGATCCATATGCCGGATGGTTTCCATTGAGCTCTGGCTGCAGGGTTTGCAGATTCATGTTGTTGCACTTTTCATCTTCACTCCAGGCTGGGAGGTGAGCACGCCGCGCTGGTGCCAGTGGCTCTGCACCATCCTCCTGCCTCCCCAGAAGTGTCCGTCACATCCATCCCCAAGCCCTGGGGAGCTCCTGCAGGTCCTGGACCCAGCTAACATGGGTCTGCTCCCTTGCTGCTTCCCGGGCTGGTGTCTGCGGGAAATGGTGTCCGCGCACAGAGGAGAGCTTTGACAGCGGCTGCTGGCCGTGGCCAAGTGGCTTTGGAGGTGACATCCTTCCTCCAGCTCTTCCCTGGAGCCTCCAACAGGCGCTCGTGCTCCTTCCCAGCCCGCTGTCGTGCCAGGAGAGGAGTCAAGCAGGCTTCTCCTTTTCTCTCTCCTTTCATACATTTAATGCAAACTTTACATACTGGCACTTCCTTCCAGCTTTCTGACAGCCTGGAGAGATGCACCCCAGACAGCAGGACGGAAAACTGAGTGCATGAGCAACACAAGAGGGATTTTCTGATCAGGAGCCACATGCAAGTACCTATTAGCCTTGCAAAGGCTTTAACGACATGCTTCAGCGCCTGACCCTGTGCGTAGGCTTTCCTCAGGCTGGCTGACTGGTCAGACTTGAATTTTAGGCTTCTTAAGGATTTAATAAGAGGCTGAACTAAAATACTAGCTTTGAGAGAGCTAAATTCTTCAAGGTCAGAAGGTGGAGAGGCTCGGGGTTAGGGTCAGTCCCATGCCACAGGGAGGTGTGGTGCTCCCGGGATGGCCAGGGACGGTTCGTCCCCTGTCGAGCGGGCAAGGGGATGCCCGTGGCACTGCTCCTCCTGCCCCGGGGCAGACGTGGTGTGCTGTGCAGCGGAGCACAGCCCTGTGCGCCCCAGGGGGTCACAGCACAGCTCGTCACTCCCAACCCGGCTGGTCGTGTCAATATTTGTCTTCTCTGGGTGATCTGTCACTGCGGGGCTGCTGGCTGGCACCCCGCTGGTCCCGGCCGACGTGTCTGCGTGGCACCATGGGACTGAACGGATCGGCCTGGCCTGGCGCAGAGAGGGACTGCGTGCCCGTGCGGGGCCGATGTGCAATGGCAGCTGCGTGTGACACTCGCCCGTGCTGCCCTGTGCCAAGGGTGCGTCTGCCCGGCACTGAGCCGTCCCGCAGATACCGCAGGGCTCGGAAGCAGCCGGGCTCCGTGGGTCCAGGCAGGAGCTACACGAGCGTGGCCGTACCATGTCTGGGAGCTGGGCTGGCCTGTTCGGTGTCCCCTTGCACTGCACCACGTTGGAAAACTGATCCAAAATGTCCCCTGTGCAAGCAAGCCCTTGCACACCAGGACTGCATGCCCAAAGGGGGCTGGGAGGCACGTTATGCCTTGCACAACCCTGGGTCGCAACGCAGCAGATCACTTCCACGCTCACTTCGCTTTAAGTGCAGGCTTTATTCCCAGGGGTTTAACTAGGAGCAGAAGTTAAGAATGCATTTTAGACCTCAGGCTTAAGTGCTGTAATGTGCTAGCTGGAGCAGCAATGAATCGTGCGCTTTTTGCTCTCAGCTACGTTTGCATCCCAGCTCTGCTGGAACAACCAGATACGTGTCTCCCGAGTCACTCCAACACTCCCACACTTGCAAAATCTTTTAGCTTTTGGAAAAAAAGAGCCATATAAAGCCAGTCTTTATTAAACCTTCATCCTTCGATGCCTCTGTGTTAGAAAGTATGGCAAGAACATGCCACTTCCTACGGCTTGCTTGAAAAATGACAGATGAGCCATCAAAACACTGGCATTTGCCACAGCCAGGGATGATCCGGCAGAGGAGGGCAGCGGGGCTGGCATCTCCTGGCTCCAGAAAACAGTCTTCACAAGAACATACACAAACGTTACGGACCTTTAATTGGAGTTTTTCTCAGGTACACTTAGGAAAGGTGCAACAACAACAACAAAAAAAAGCAGGTATTTTCTTGGCCAGCAAATCTGGTCCAGACTCCTCTCCCTCCCACCCAGCTTCTTCTGGAATGATACAGAAAACCGGAGATTTAGATCCGTTCCTGCTGCCGGCGCATTTCAGACACGAGCCAAGCCCAGACCACTGGGAGAGAAGCCCAGGTCTCCATCATGCTGTGGTCTCTGCCCATAGCTCGGCTGCTGGTGCGGGGCACGGAAAGCCTTCACAGAAAGCAGCTGCCCCCACGTTCAAGGTTGTTACCCTCACTGTTATTCTTCAGCAAAATACCCAAGGTGTGAAGGCTTTGGGGGGGTTTGGAGCCTCGCAGGTCATGCTGAAGCCCAGCATCTGCCTATTTAATGTCCTTTCCCCAGCCCTTATCGCACCCACCCCAACGCACGCCTGCAAAAGCAGACACGTGCCGCCCGGGCACCAGCCACCGTCCTGCCGCCCGCCCCGCAGCAAGTCCGTCAGATGGCACCATGGAGCAGTGCGACTGCACCGTCCTTCCTCCCGCCCGAACACGTCTTGACACCGGGCCAGCTGCGCACCGGCCTTTGGTGGAAGGCAGAAAGCTCCGGGCACCGCCGTGGTCGCTCCCTGAACCCAGGGAACAAAGAGCAGTGATAAGGCTGGCCGCACCACGTTCCCCCTTCCCTGCAATGACAGTCCTTAGCGAGGCAGGATTTTTCCAGGATCAGCCTTTTCTTTATTTAAGGATTTTTGCATAGGCAAATGTTACATTTTTTGGACACGCAAACGTTAAAAAGATCGATCCTATGTGTATGCACGTGCTCACGGCCACAGCCCGTGCTGTCTGTCTTAGGGTATTTAATCATACGCGTATATACAGTGGCCTGGCGGAAAATGTTTTCCACGGTTTGAAAGAGTGCTCTAAAAGGGTGAAACCGATAAATGCCTTTAAAGGGTGTCCACTCGCTGCGTCTGTGCCTGTGCAGTTCGGTTGCAGCAGCTTTTGTGTCTGTGTAATACAGTCTGCAGACCGTGCACTGCACTTTTCTATTTTGAATTTTGTTCTGACTCCTCTTACTTTACTCTCTCACCTATAAAAGCAGGATTTCTAATGAAAATAAGCAATAAATTTGGTGTAAAGGATTTTCAAAAGCAAGACAGCTGGCAGCACACTGCCATCCTACTGCCTTGGACTTTTTGTGACAGACAATATATTGATTAAAACAAGAATAGGGAAGTGCAATGGAATGAGGGTGTTCACTGACCTTGTTCTGATGACAGAAAAGTCATTTCGGGGTGAGACTGTGCCTTGAGCTTCTACAGGGACCTGTTGTCCTGGGCATAGGATCAAGGGAATTTTTTTCTCCAGTAAAGATGGCAAGATAGGTAGTAGTTGCCATTTAAAAATGAGGTACATTCCAAAGAAAAGGGCTAGGAAAATTTCAATTAAAAGAAGCAAATTCATAATGCATAGATTGGTTAAATGTGCACAATTGTAAATATAGACAATAATTTACAGGCTTTTCTCTTGAAATATTAGTGCTGCTATAAAGAGACAAGAGTGTGACTTACTTATAATGACTTACCATAGCATTTCCATACCATAAATGAGACAGATTAAGTTGACATTATATATTACTTAGCTGTGTACCAATTAGCTAAACAAATGCTATGAATTCCGTCATTTATGATGGAAGCTACATAAAAATTGTATAATTACTGCAGTGAGTCATCTAGTTAAATGGCACTCCTATATGGACAAATTGATTTCAATGCAAGATTAATAGCCTTTTGCCCCTGTTTTACGTGCTTGCCAAAGACCATACTACATTGTTGCTAAGCATCATTAATGGATTAAAATAAGGGTTCTGCATAATTCCTACGGTGTATCTTCAAACAGCTTGTTTAGTTTGTGCACTAGCCTAGCGCTCGTTAGCCCTACGTAACACACGGGTCTGGAAGGCTGACACGCGTGAAGGAGGTTAATGCAATCCTAGGAACTCTTTCAAAAGCTCGCAGGTTTTCTTGTGGATGACTTCGCGAAGTTTCCGCACGCGCCGGATGCTGGAGGTCCCCACAAAGCTGTCTGGCTGTAGGACAGCCATGCCATTGTGGACGTCTCCCATGATGATGAGCTGGCCATCCACCGTGGTCATGTTGGGACACGGGCAGCTCCAGTCCATGTTCAAAAGCGTGATTTCTAGTGGTTCCTTCCCCAGGAATTTTAATCCCATTTTTTCATCTTTGAGAATCTCCTCCACTGTCACCAGAGCATGTCCCGAGTCTTGGTCTTCAGTCAGCTCTGTTATACGGCCCAGGATAACAAAGTCGCTTTTGCAAAAGCTTGTCACCAGCTTCTGGCGTGGTTTGCAAGCTTTGCAGTGCGTGTTCTTCGGGAAAGGGCACATCTCTTCACAGGCCTCCCGACTCTCAAAGTTGTTCTCATTGCCTCCACACCCGCCGTAAATGAAGGACTGGCACTGCTTTGTCAAGCTGTTATAGGCCCATCTGGGCTCATAGGCTTTGCAGTGACCTTGGAGGGCTGGCAGATTGCAAATGTTGATTGGGCCGTTCATGCAGGTTAACATACAGTTCTCGTAGGTCTCAAAGTGGTTGAGGTTGCTGTTACAGTTCCCATAGATGAAAGTAAAGCAGTTGTTTTTCTTTGCATCATAGTACCACCTGGTCTGCTCTTCCCCACAGTCTTCGCTGTCTGGTTGTTTCAGGCATTCATCGGTTGGAAAATGTGTTTTGTTTTGGGAAGCTTCTTTAGATGTGGGTTCTCCTTTGATGACTGACAAGGGGAAATCAGCCCTGAGAAGGCCACCGCTGTTTTTGGCAGTGCAGGTGTAGATGCCTGCGTCTTGGAGCTGCGTGTTGTAGATGACCAGTTGGGCAATGTTGGTGACCACGACATTCCCTCTGACGTGATTTGGCTTCATAATGACTTTTTCTTTCCCATCAACCTGCTTCTCCCATGTGATTTCTGGCTTGGGTCTCCCTGTAACATCACAGAGGAAGCTGACGGTCTCTCCCACGTAGACCGACTGATGGACGGGGTTGTTCACTAGGGCGGGTGGCAAGATATCAATGACTGTTGTCTCGGAATAGGCAGTAGTAGGGCGAGCTGTTGTTTCTGGTGGGATAGGGCTGGTGTTTGGCCAGGTAAGATGGTACCTACAGGTGACTACATTCAGTGTAATGCCTTTGATGCAAGCTTCGGCATCCATGTAGCACTTGTTGTAGTAGGTGAGCCCATCGGAGGCACAGGTGAAGCTCGGCTCCTTCTCACACCTGTCCTTGCACTTGCAGACGGGTTGCCCGTCCCAGATGTCGCATTCTGAGCCTTGTTGGATGCACATGAAACGGTCGCAGGTTGCCTCTTTGGGCATTCCCACCGGCCCTTTTTTCCCCTTGACATCCATGTACCGAGCCGCCACACAACTCTTCGTTCCACAGACATTGGGGCAGCACTTCTCAAAGGTCTCACACTCCTGTAGGGAAGGAAAAGAACCCGATCATTACTGGGGACAGAGTAAAGTCCTTTTTAGAGACGCAGCAAGCAAAGAGACCAGAAACTTCCAAGGTGTTAGCTCAGGGGACCTGGTCTGCCGCAGATATCTGCAGTCTGAAACTCAGTGTCCCCACCTGGCAATGAGTGGAAACATCCCTCCAGCCTCTCCCGAGAGGTGTCTAAACACACTGGGGTTTCTGAAGTGCTTCAAGAGAAGACTCTCGAGAAGGAAAATGTATTTCTTAAACACTAGCCTCCTCATAAGCCTTTCCTAGAGTCACATGGACTTCTTGACTACCGAACCAACAACCCCCCTTCCGCACTCTCCGAAATGCCTGAGGACAAGCCCTGAGAAACAAGAGCGGATGGAAAGTCTTATCATATGGCTGTAGGCAGTAATCCTTCTTATTTTCCACATAAGTATGTAAAGTATTATTTGAATTCCCTGAGACTAACAGCCTACTCTTGGAGGTGAAACTGCCAAGGATTTGTAATTGTTCACATTGTAGAGGAAATAATAGAGTATCTCAAAAGTAAGGAAATTCTTGCTCCAAAAATAATTTTTCTATGGTATTTAGAAAAACAAACCCAAAACAGCTCATTATGGCTTCTCTGTCCTATTTTAGTCCTATTTTCAAATGCAGCATTGCTCTTCTAGTGATTTATTACAACCCGTCTCAGCTACAGTCAGCTCTAAATTGCGGTTAATTTTAGCATAATTTTCATCTTCTGTGCAGAAAAGGTATTTGATATGTGTGATCACAGCTGCTGTGTTGTTACGGATTACTTTAAGGGACCATGAACGCTGCTACCGTGTACCCAACGGGGCACACTTCCACCATGTGTTAAACCTCTACAACCCCCCTGAAATCCAACGGCTTTCTCCCTAAGTGAGAACAAAATGTTTTTTTAAGCTACCAAACTAAATAGCTTCCCCTGAGTCCACTATCCTTTCCTTATTGGGAAAAAAGATGACCTAATAACATAACTCTCTCCCCATTTCCAGCGACACATTACTAGGTTTCAGAAGCAAAGCTAGAAACCAGAACGGGTAACGGTTTCAGCTGAGGGTAAGGAGCGTGGCTTTAGCAAAGCTGGTGGCAGAGTCCCTGGCTGCTTGCAGACCACTCACTCCATGCGAGGTCCCAGGACGCTGTGCTGCCACGAGGCAAAAGCGAATAGTTTTAACCAGTGGCTTCTGGCTTTCAGTTTTTGACCAGTAAGTTATTAAAACAATGTCCTCTGCTGCTGCTGCTGCTGCTGAGTTTTTGCGGATGATTTAATATTCATTGCTGCGCCTGGTAGTTGAAATAAAGGGGGCTTAGTTGGGAATGGCAAAAGTAAAACCAGCACCTTCATTCAGAACACATGGGATCCATCTGAGCAAAACTGTTTACTTGATGGCCAGCCTTTTTCTCTACTTACACCTCCAAAACTCCTTTTAGCACTGCAGAAGCAACCTGCCTACAGAACACAAACCCAATGACTTGTTTTAGCACGGTGCACGGTGCTGTCAGCCTGGTTTGGGCTGCAGGACCTTTGCCGTCGGACATGATGTAAGAGGCAGGACGAGCAGGTATTTTCAGATGCCAGCTTGAGCTGGCAGTGCTGACGGGTTGAAAAATGAATTTTGAGGTTGTAAGCTAAGCACATTTTGAGCTGGGAGCATCACAGAGAACGTCTGCATGGTCATTTTAACCATGCCCCTGCACTGCACTCCAAGCACACTTTGTGTTTCAAGTGCAGCAAAGGCTGATGCTTTACATGTTAAATCAAACGGTTTCATACATGATTCCTCCCAGGAATATAAAGCATTGATGATGGCCACCACCACCAAAGAACATGGTGACACTGCTAAAATACTGTGGATTGACCCCAAGGCATGCTGAGTTCTGGAGCATCAAATTCGGATGTTTCTTTTGACAAGAAAGTATGGAAAATGATCCAACGGAGCAAGTGCTGTACCCACATCGGCATAAGTGACAGCTGCCACACACCTCCCCACTTCACTGATAACTCATCAAACATTTTCTATAGGTCACGGGTCAATTAAATACGTGCGCTGTCTGCATCAAGTCCTGCATGGTGCCGGCGCCTTTCTATCTGCAACAGAAACAGACTGCGGTGCAAACAAGCCCACCGACAAACCCCATCGCCCGCATTGCAGAGAGATAAAAATGTGCATCACTCACCAGATCAGCTTCACATTCTCTCTTGCAAGTGCTCTGCGCGTCTACCCACAGGTTGGGGTTCATGTCATTGGGGCATATCCCAGCGTGGGAATACCGGATTGGAGGTAGGGCTCTCCCTTTCAGAGAGACCTCCAGAAGCAACAGGACACTGCTCTTCCCCAGCAAGATCCACATCCACCGCGTGAACAGCACCAACATCTCAGAACTTCTCCAGGGCAATGGCAGTGACTGAGCTGGAGGTCGTTCTTGTTTGCTTGGGCTTGCTCTTTTTTTTGTTTTGTTTTTTTTGGTAAGCCTTAAATTTTCGAGGAACCCAAATGCACCTGACTTCTGTAAAAACTTCAGCAAGCTCCTTTGCTGCCTCTGTTGATAGTGCAGTTTGGTCTGGACCTCATTGGATTAAAGGTCCTAGGAAGTTACCCCCTTATTTTAAGAGAAATGCTAATAGTCTGAGCAGAGTTAGCTCTATTTATACCCTGCCTCTGTTAACAAGTCAGAAAAAGTAAACTTGATTTCTTTGACAGGCACACGCTTCCTATGTCCTGGTGGCAGTCAGACAGATTTGTTGCAAGAAAAAAAAGCTGGAAAGAGTTTAAAAGGCTGGAACTGGCACGGTGGGACCCCTGCATGTTTCTGAATGCAGGGAGGCCTTCTTAACCCCTTTAGACCTAAAGTACTTCCCTATGCTAAGAATGGCATTTACTTCTGAAAGAGTACTTGTCTAAATAACACGGACCCGCGGTCAGGGGATTTCCCCACGGCAAGGGGCTACACAATCACTTGCTAAAAGGAACAAGTAATAGGATTGAAGCAATTAAAGCTAGAATATCATATTTTAACAAAGGAAGTAGGGAAGAAATAACTTATTTAAACTTAGAATCGGCAAAACAGTATGTCTTCATAACTTCTCCCGGGTCTCCTCCGGGCTTTTTTCTTCTCTTTGGTGGGGAGATTTCCAGGATGCAGGTTTTAATGCTGCCCTCCAACCCCACCAGCAAGATGTTAAAAGTGTCCCCGAATTCCTCCACATTTCCTGACAGCCAGATCCCATTGTACAGTGCATTGCTGACCCCTTTAACAGCGACAACAAAAAAATAGTAGAAGTTCAACTCTATGGAAACCTGCATAAAGGAATGTACAGCATTTTTGCATTTGGGGGCGGGGGGGGGGGGAATTTAGCCAAAACAGGAC